GACTCATCCTCTTATCTACATGGTAGATATTTAATTAAATGTGCTACAAGCTCATTATTTCTCAGCAAAGCTCCCTGCTGTGTACTTTATCTTATTTAGTGTTCTCACCTTGCAAACAGCCATCCAAGTCATGGCTTTAAAATTCTTTTGGCTGTCACACACACACACACACACACACACACACATACACACACGAGACTTATTTTGTTTTTCAACATAGAAATCATACACACACACGCACACACACACACACTTGAGAACATCACGACCATTTTCTAATTATATCATGGATGGTAAACTCTGATGTTATTTGACATAATTATTTTCTTTATGCTTTTAATTTGTGAATAAAAATACAAATAATGTAAAATTTACTATTCTAAAGTGGACAATCCAGAAGCATTTACAATCTTTGTACTGTTATGAAGGCATCACCTACATCCACTTCTAAAACCTTTTCATCACTCTAAAAAGAAACTCTGTGTCTATTAAGAGTGTATTACAGCTTTCCCTCTCCTCATGCTAGAAAACACTAAATTGCTTTTTGACTATATTTATTTAAATATTAAATAAAAATAAGATCATACAAATACGACTTTTAGTGTTGGCTTCCATTTTAGTATGTAATGTCACTACTTTGTCATTTAAGGAATTAATCTGACAGTTCACCAGTTACACTTACATCCTCTGTAGGTCCATACATAGGCCGTCCTTTTCCTTGTTGCTTCTCCCAAACACAGACTTCAATCAATTTTCATTTTCATTCCTAATAAATATCTCTGGAAGATCTGCTTTCCTCTCTATTTCTGTTATTCAGGTCCTCCTTTTTTTTTTTTTTTTTTTTTTTTTTTGGCTTTTTCATTTTTATCGGTACCAGGGATCCGACTCAGGACTGCCTGCTTGCAAGGCAGGCGCTTATGCCGCTGAGCTAAATCCCCAGCCCCCAGGTCCTCCTTCTAACAGGATTATTATACCACAACGATTATAATTAGTTTCTGTGTGTCTCTTCTATTCTCACTACTGTTTATTTTCCAACTATTATATATATAGTACAAACATATGTATGTGCACGTGTCTGTGTGAATATATTTGAGAATGTCATACTTCTACTTAGAAAAACAATCGAATGCACAAATGAATAAGCTCTCCAGTTTCTTTTACTATATTCAAAATAAGATGAAAGGGTTTTAGTTTGGTATGTGAAATCCTCTCAGTTCTTTTCTTTGTTTTGGTATTCAACCTTATTCCAGCCACTACTAATAGACCTAATAGTGTGCCGTATTTACCTTTTCCATCCTCAGGGTATGAGTAAACTTACTATATAGTGAGCCTTTGCCAATGATGATTCAAAACCATAGGTTTTTCTATACATCTAAATAATTTTGAATATTAATAAAATGAAATAATGGATGTAGATTTTAGTTTTTACTTTGTTTAATAAGAAGTTCATTTGAATTCAGTATGGATATTCTTTGGAAAAACAAATGCTTTCTACAATTACGTTTGACACTTGTGAATTTTCTACATGTTAGATTCTTTTTCAATTTATTAGCGAGATCTTATATCAAATTAGTGAGATCTTATTTCATCTAATGGTGAAAGAAGATGTAAGTCAAAATATTAATATTTTATAATACTAATAACAAGAATATATTATAAGAAAATAAGTGTTGCAGAGAAAAGAGTTGCCTAAAAAATCTTCTTTGATTCCTTAGGGTTTGTTGCAGTCAGGGGTTGTACACAGAGAACAATTAGGTTCAAGAAATGGAGTTTATAATACTTTTATAATGGTCACCGGGAGTTAACACAGGAAAATGCAGGAAATCTATCCACAACACCAAAGAAAGAGATTATTTAGTCAAGAGCCTAAACCCCACAGCACATGTCCCACATGAGTCCAGATAAAAACCCAGAGCTCAGGACAATGCCTCCCACAAGTCTAACTGGAGGTCCAGAGCTCACAAGAAGGACTCACACGCCTTGTCTTTTATGGATCCATGCCAGGAAGACCCAAGGGTCAGCGGGGTGTCTATGCCAGCAGGATCTGTGCCAGTAGGGTGAAGGAGCTGTACTAGTGGGATGAGGGTTCTACACTGGAGCCGAAAAGTCACACTCACAACAAAGACCAGGGCTATCCTGAAAGGTACCACAGCCATCCTCAGCAACAAGGAGGCCCTGAGCTCTTCCGAGGACAAGCACAGTGCCAGGAAGCAGCATGATGAGCTCATCCTGGAGACCAAGCAGCACATGTCTTCCCCTCCGGAGCCAGGAAGCAATGCTCGATGTGAGGACCAAGCCTTCTCCAGGAGAACCAATGGTTCAGACTCCTAGAGAACCCACAATGCCTCCTTAACACCTCAAACCTCAACACCTCCCTTCTTCTCCACCTATTTGTGCTGGAAACTTTCCTCAGGTGGAGCATCTTTGCTCAGTGCCATGCTGATGTAATCCAGCTGGCGTTAAATTGACCACCAGTTCTTAATCCATAATAGGGTTGAATCTTCAAGACCCTGCCAAAAAATTACAGTTATTTTCCATTTTTGATACTGTGTCTTGCTATGCCATTCAGGCAGGTCTTGAACTCACTATGTAGCGCAGGCTGGCCTTAAATTTGAAATGATCATCCTAACTCAGTCTTCCTAATGCCGGGATTATAGGTTTGTGCTACCACGCCCAGCTAAAATTTTAAATTTTAAATTTTAAAGCACTAAAGAAATGTTCTTAATGTTTTCAGTTGTGTTTTGTTGCAACATGGAAATTCTTTCGATTTTATCTTATATGGCAATTGAGTTTTGTTACATAATCAACAAAAAGAATGAGAGGCAAAGGAGCAGTATACAAAATCACAACTACCTGGAAAATGTAGTGCTAAATGCAAATATAAATGAATTTAGTGCCACACCATGTGAAGTTCTAACCTGTTCAGCCTGAGGTTTAAATGCTGGTTATATTTGAAGCAAATTTCAGAGATGTATATAGTTTTAGAGAGATGGTAAATAATTGAATTTAGGAAAGTATAAGCTTTATTTTAGTTTCCTTAAAAATTCATCTCTAGTATATGAGCAACTTACCAACCAAAAAAATAGAAACAGGAGAAAGAATCGTCTTCAGTGTATCTTCTACATTATTTATTCATAACCAAATCCAAGGCATGTACTTGCACCTTGATTGTTTAAACAAATGTGAAAGTGGCAAAGATAAACACTTCAATTTTAGTTAATCACCAGCTGTTCTTGAAACTGATCTAGGCATGAGAAAATATTAAAATCATGGAACTCTGAGTTGAAATATAAATCACTGAGTTAAACTCCATAGTATTGCATCAAATGTGTGCATCAAATTTGCCTCTCAATGATATTTTAACGGTTTGTTTATTTTCTCATAGTAGCACAGATAGCTACTTCAAGAGCATTTTGTTTATAATTTCCTAAGATATGACTTATGAGAAAACTTGTTCCTTACAAAAGAAAGTCAAATGTGTTAACACTTAGTTGTAATCCTAGGCCTTGAGCTATGGAGTCAAGAGCATTGCCACAGCTTTGAGGCCATATGGGCTACACAGTGAGTTCAAGACGAACTTGAAATACATAGTGAGATTCTGCCTCAGAAAACCAAAATAATAAGAAGAATATATAAAGTAGATACTGACCCCCAAATTATGATAAATCTGTCATGAATTTTAATTTCCATACTACAGTTAATGAAAATGCGGTTTTTTTCATGAAATTATTTTTCATGTCTCTGGAGAAATACTTTCATTATTTGAAGGGTTATTCAATTTGTAATTGAGAATCTGTAAATTCTTAAAATTATTGTATTATGAGTCTCTCAAGAGTACAGTTAAGGGGCTGGGGGTTTAGCTCAGCGGCATAAGCGCCTGCCTTGAAAGCAGGCAGTCGTGAGTTCGATCCCCGGTACCGGTAAAAAGGAAAAAGACCAAAAAAAAAAAAAAAAAAAGAGTACAGTTATATACGAATCTATTAGTAATTATGATTGATCGAAAATTTTGAGCCTCCTTGATTATTCTGTGCTATAAACATAGGTAGTAGTCTATTTTTTAGCATTTTCTCATTATCAGTTTGACTTTTGTTAATATGATGGGTGGAAATTTTGTGAATTTATTGCCATTTTTACTTTTAAACTTTGTTAGCTTTTTTGGCTAGATTTATACCTTATACTGAATAAACGTTGTTTAAGCTGTATTATATTTAAATATAAAATATCATCTCCATAATACAGAATCTGGGATTATCTAATTTATCTAAATGTTCTTTATTCAGTACATAACTATTCTTATTTGGAGACTAATAAAAGTCATTATATTAGCTTCCGATGGCTTCCAAAACAAGCATGAGAAATGAGTTGCTTAAGAAAGTATGGATGCATTGGTTCTCAATTGTGGAGGCTAGAATTTCAAAATTGATGTGACATCAAGGGCATGCGGCAGGAGAGAAGCCTAGAAGAGAGAATACTCTTGCTCTCTTCAAGCTTCTGGTGATTGTCATTCACTTTTGGCTTTTCTTGATTTTTAAATCCATCACTCCAATCTCTACATCCATTGTCGTTTGAACATCTTGAGTGTCTACGTGGTCATTCTGTGAAGGCTCTTATCCTATTTGGTTGAGAGGCCATGTTACTGCATTATGATTTCTGTTTGACTTAACTCACTACATATATTCCAGATAACAAATAATACCACATTCTGAGATCATAGAGGTACTCCAAATTAAAATTGCAGTATTTTAATATTACAAAATTTTAATAGTCAATTTAACTAGATTGTATGTATAGAAGATGGACAGCATTTTATTTTTTAATCTTTTATTTTTGAATTATGTTTACAAAATCTAACAAAACACTACTTCATATAGATGTACAATTATTATATGTCAACTTATCTTTTGGGAAGATATAATTCAATCTATATTAGTCAAATTTATGGGATTATCATTGCAAACTTTGCAAATATCAGCAACTTCACTCTTTGTTTTTACTCCTAGATATGCCATTCAGACCATTCCTTTACATAATCCTACTAATGAAACCTTAGAATTGCAAGTAAGAAACAATAATCCTGGAAATTTTGTCGTGGAAATGAATGAGTCATCATCAGTAAGTACAGTAAGAAAGTAATGAAACCTACTTGTACTACAGAATTTTCTAATTCTTATTTTAAGACACCTATCGAGTATTAACATTTGGATTATTAATAAGGTTTTAGATCTTCAAAATTTAAAAATATACTTTTGTATTATATAAATTTCCCCCAAGAATTCCAAACTCTCTTGAAAGCAGTATCATGTTAATTTAAACTTTTGAAGGTATGTATGCTAATAAGATGCTCATTATCACTAAATTTTTAAAAAGCTGATTGTACTTTATTTCTGATGATTTTAGTAACCAGGTTTTTTGCAATATTGGCCCAGTAATATGACTTTAACTCAAGAGTCATTTTAGTGTTTCAAAAGAACAAGTCATCTCGACCCCTTCTTCAGTCCCTGCCCCTGCCTCTCACATATATTTCTAGACTGTGCTAGCAACTCTGCCCCACCACTTCCATTCCTGACAGTAAAACTAGAATCAAAGTAAAAGGTCTGAATTAGTTTTCTTCTTCCTTCAAGTTACAAAACAGGAAATTATAGTTTCTGAAATATAAGACCCAATTATTTGCAGCAAATGAGAAACTATATACCTCAGGTAAACATCAAAATGATAATTCCAGCCTGGGCAGAGTAGCGCATGCTTGTTGTCTGCTGGCAGGTACGATACTTAATTAGGGTTTTACTTTTTAGTATTACAGGACTGTTTAACAAATTATGTATCAAAATGGACATGCATGGTTGCATTATTTAATACTGTATTTTCCACAAATTATATAGAACATAGAATTTGAGATGAAGTTTATATGTAACATGAAGAAGTTGTGTTTTCATAATCTGTTTCTATGCTTTTACAGCAGAGTCTAATTATGATATAATGAAAAAATGCAATATATTCATGTCAATTTAAGGAGATGGGCTCATCCTTTTCATCCACAGCTTCCAATATCTATCTATCTATCTATCTATCTATCTATCTATCTATCTATCTGTCATCTATCTCTATTATTTTGTGGTACTCAGGATTCAATGTAGGGCCTTCACACTGAGCTACATCCCTAAACTTTTAAATGTTTTATTTGACATAAGGTCTTGTTAATTCATAAGTTGTCCAGACTGAGAGAACATCTGAAATCTTCCTGCCGGTTGCCTCACATAGGGCAGAGATTATAAGCAGTGCAGTACCACTACTGTGCAGTCCCATACATGGCTTTACTCCACTCATCTTTTGATTCATTTATCAAACATTACCAAATAGTGAATAGGCAATTAAGTCTAACATCAGGAACAAATTAAAAGTTATATATAAAAATGATGTTCCATAATATAACCCAGTACCATACCTTCATAAATGGATAACAAATAGAAATTATAGCAAAAGTAAAGTATGTAATAAAATTTACAAAATATAAATAATATAACTTAATAAAATATATGCACATATACATGTGGGTATGTATTCACAAAACTACACTTGGCTTCCATTTAATAGTTTGTATTTGCAAAACTACAAATTGTAAAATATTATTATGAATAAATAGTAAATATAGGAGGCTGGGTATTTAACTCAGTGGCATAAGTGCCTGCCTTGCAAGCAGGCAGTCGTGAGTTCGATCCCTGGTACCGATAAAAACAAAAAAAGACCAAAAAAAATAGTAAATATAAATTTTGTATAAGGCAAATGGTGGTATAAACATTCACTTCTTTATAACTACATATTGTTGATTTTTCGATTATAAAGATCTTCAAAGAGTAATACAATAAACAGTTTTCCAACTTGGTTTATGAATTATTAATGATCTGACATATTCTCTGTCCCTATACTTTCTCTTACATCCTCATTGTAGGCCTTTCAGATAATTTTAATCTAAATATTTAAATTGGAGCTCTCTTTTTTCTTGTTTTTTTGATTATTTGAGACACTGTCTTGCTATGTAGCCAATGTTTGCCTTGAATTTGAAGCAATACCCCTGCCTCAGCTTTCTGAGTCCTGGGATTACAGTCATATGCTACTATTCCTGGCTTCAAATTATGTCTCTTAGGATCATATTATTTTTCTGTTGTCTCATAGCGATCTGAATTCTGGTTCACTCAAATGTCACCAGAATATCATTTTCTCCTGAACTAGGATTCTGTGTAAACCCACACATTAGAATAAGTTATATGATGAAGCTTGCACTAAAATATTTTTTGATTTCAATATAGTCCTACATTTAACACATTCATTATACCCCATTACACAAATCAGCAGAGATACTACAATTAAATTCTTAAAATTATGTTTATCTTTCTGGGACATACATGCTTCATGATTTTCAGTGCATTTTAGGTATAAATAAAAATTTAAAGTTAAATTGCTGCTTGATTGTATACACCAGTTCATTTTTCCATGTGCCTATATCATATGTTTATAGAAGAGGAATTTGAGAATATAGAGACCAAAACACTAAACTAAATGGTAGTAAAATTATTTTAATGAACTGAAATAAAATACAATTTAATGTAGCAGTTTGTTTCTTTCTTTCTCCTTCCCTCTCTCTTTCTCACTTTGTCTCTCTATAGAGACAGACCTGTGTATATACACAGAGATATATATGCATCCTTACCCATCTATATCTATAGAGGGAATAAACTATTTTTTATATATGATAAATTGAAAAGCTATGTAAAATTCATTTCTTGCTAAGGCTAACAATGAAAATAATTTACATTTCTAAGGCATATATTAACTGCTAAACTCCAAACATTAGAGGCATTAAAGGGAAGGCTAGCATGAAATAAAATTATGTTCTGTAGATAAACTATACACATTTAATCAGAAGGTACTCTATTTTATCTATAAAAGTAAATTTCCATTTGCATTTTGATTATATTTTGCATTTTATTGATCACTAAATGTTGTATTTTACAAAGATTGAATGATGCTAATAACGTTCAGTTTTGCTTTTCAAATTAATTTGCAAATATATTAGAGTAAAACAATTTGGTTTTCAGACAACAACTTATATTATTATTTTCTAAGTATTGATATCAAATATCATTTTATTCTCTTTTTTTGATTACAAAAGATACTCAAGCCTTCAATATATGGTGATAGAGACATCAGTTTTTTTCACTACCTAAAGAACTAATTCACACTCTTAATGTACATACCAGCAGGTCACACCTTGAGTGTGTACATAATATGATTAAGAGGAAAACTTTAATGTACATTAAAAAACATGCCTTCCATCTATATACTTCAAAACGGTACATTTATTTGAGCATGGCCGGGGCTGCAAGTTTATTTCCTGGTAGTTTGACATGTATCATGGAATGATAAACTATAGGCTCTTAAATAAAACACGCAGGAAAGCCTGGTGTGGTGGCTCACGCCTGTAATTCCAGCACTTGGGAGGCTGAGGCAGGAGGATTTTTGCAAGTCTGAGACCAGCTTAGGCTACAAAGTGAACTCAAGGCCAGCCTGAAGAGACCTTGTCTCAAAAAGAAAAAAATAAAAATAAAAATAAATAATAAAACACACAGGCCAGGGATATAGCTCAGCCACACAGTGCCTGCCTGGAGGTCACAATGTCCTGAGTTGGATTTCTGGTGTCAAAAAGAAAAAAAAATCTGCATTTCTATAGATTTAGGAAGATGCAAGCCACGCTTTAACTTTGATTTAAGAGGATGTAATCCAGTTTTTAACACAGATTTCCTTTTATGCTCTGATTACCTGAGGATGATCATGGCATAAGAACCAAATAAGGGCTCTTTTATCAGTGTTTTGGCTACTTTACTCTCATTACTGGGAAAAAAATACTTGAAAATTAAGGAAAGAAATCTTACTAAGGTCACAGTCTGTGGAGATTTCAGTCCACAGTCAGCTGCCTCCAAAGCAGGTTGGCATGATAGGGACAAAAGTTTAAGGTGGCAGAAAACAGCAAAAGCAGCAAGAGCTAAGGAAGGCAGAGCAAGCCTTTTTTCTTTCCTCATATTGTTGGCAGGCTTCCGCCCTTAAGGTGGGTGTAAGGCTGTCACCATCTCTGCTCCCTCCTCTTGCAGAGGCTCAGAATATTTACAAAGTGAAGATCCTGGCCCCATGCTGAGTCACTTAGTTTTAAACTTCTATAGGTGACAACAATGAACAACATTCTAGAGTGGTAAGGTCATGTCCTGTACCCAAGGATAGAAAACTGTTGTGTTACTTAGTTAAGCTTCTAAATTTCTCAAGTTGACACAGTGGAACAGCCATTACAACCAGTTTTCATAGGGACAGTTTACTGAGAAAAACTAATGTGTGTAAGGCCACACATTCATTGCACAAACATTAACTGTACATATACATAGCACATAGAGATAGCAACTGAAAGAATAACCCTTTGTTCTTAATTTACATAGCTGGTTGTACTTCCTCACTGCACCAAAGAGATATCAGTTTGCTTTTATCCTTCTGGGCTTGGAAGAACTGGTCATGAAACTTGCATCAACTTCTACTGTACTCAGGTATGATAAGATTATTCTTGGATTAGGCCATTCTAATGAAATTAAAAAATCAGTACATAAGTAAATCTGGTTTATCCATTTGACATCTTTTCAAGTAAGAGAAATTCAGTGTAAATCACTACTTACATATAGGCTGAAAAACACAATATACATTATCTGTACACAAGCACCAAATTAGGTTCATTTTAATAAAGGAAAGTGTATGCCCAGATTTAAAAGAGAAATATTTCAATGTAAATATCAAATCATTTGTATATATGTTGTTTCCGACTTAAACTTTATTATTTAAATTTTAATGAAATATATGAAAATTTAGAGTGAACTCTTACAAAGTTATTTCCTCAATTTTATTTTATTTATACAGTATTGCTGAAAAATAATTTAACAAAATCCTTGATTCATCATTGCTAAATGTGTTCTTTCTCTCTCTCCACGTATAATTATAAGGATTATCTCAGATTATTCACACCAAAGTCCTATAAAGGAAGTGTTAAAGGCACTATTTTATGGATCAGAAAGCTGAGCCACAAAAAAATTAAGATCAAGTACATAGTAAAATGTTGAGCTGAGAACTGAATCCAATGTAGCTATTGATTACATAAGATAATAAAACCTTCATTATATTTTAATGGAATGGAGTAACTGGCTTGTTTCATTATGTCAAGGAAGATGATTCAAACTCATAAGTATTGAGAATTGCAGGTAATTCCTTGAGTGTGTATGTATTAGGTACAGGGAAAAATTTTACAGGAAAATTTTTAAAATGTGTCTTATCTGTGCTTAGAAATAGTACATTTCTCTTGATATTGCCAAGGCTGTCTGGTAGGTAAATGGTTGGTAGCTTGTCATATGCCATGGGTTCTGCAATGAAATATGTGCTCCTAAGTAAAATGTACATTTCTACTATTGTCTTCATGAGAAATTTTCACAGATAGTTTTCCAAGACCAATGTAATTATAACCATAATCTATTTATCCATAAGTAAATATGTCTCTTACTGCTAATTAAAATAATGTATTTTAATATTTATTATAATATTTATTGTAATTTATTATGATTTATTATAATTTTTCAAATGTTGATGGGAAAGAAAATAAATAAGGAAATATACTTGATATGCTGGATAACACTTAAAAAGTCACTAAAGCCTTACATCTGAGTGTTACTGGAAACAAATATACCTCAGCGATCCCTATGTCAGTGCAGGCTCTGTGGAAGACTAAAGTATGCTCTTCACCAAAAATATATTGCAGTATTTTTTAAAAAATGTTTTGAGGCTGCTAAATTTCCTAAATAATAATATGACCTGAAAAAATATACATTTATGTTTAATTCTCAAAACAATTAATAAATTAGCAGTTATCCTCATAGAGAGACAATTTTGGTGCATATTATTTTCTTTGAAATGGATGATTTTAACAAGGCTGATCTTCCAAAGAACTACTTCAAGCAGTCTTACAACCTTCAAATTTAAATTATTGGGGGCACTTTATTTGTTCATATTTGTGGTGGAAATTGTATCTCTATAAGGATAGTCCTGCATGTCCTAATATGTAAAGGTGATTGTCAGCTTGGTATATTAATTTCTTTAGAAAAGTCTACAGTGAGGGTGAACCTTTAAGAGCTTTCAATGATACAAACATCCCACTCTGTCATGCATGCTACTGTTTCACCACCACTGGAAGTTTAAAGTTAAATTCTTTGTCAAATATATGAGAACTCAAAGAAGTAAGCTATCACCTCAAATGTTTTGTTAATCAGCTAATTTCAGTCACTCTTACTATCTCAGCCCAATCTGTGGCAAATCTCTAAAGATTCTTTTATCAATAATTCATTTCTCTATAATTAACTGAATCAATAATTCATCTTTTCAGCTACTTGGGCAAGACCTCTTCAAACTTTCCAATACTTCTCTCCCACCTTTGTGACTTTTCTTGCCTTTTTGAACTCTGAATGATTCAGGTCTCCCTCGTTTATTTAATTTATCCAGTTGATATCTTTTGCAAGCAAAACCTGTTCATCATAAAGTATTAATTGAGTTAACTTTTGAAAAATCGGTATATATTATTTGTAAGCAGGCATCTAAAGAATACATTTTTAAAATAAAGCTTTAGAGTTTATTTTTCCAAGTCTGAAACTTCAGGCTAACTTTTTACCATTAGAAGGAAGCCCATATAGATTTATATCCCTTTCTTGATTTAAATGTTTAAATCTATCTAAACTGACATGCAGAACTGAGGAACTGATTAATCTAAAACCAACTAATGTCAGCGCTTATAGGATAAACTTAATTTCTAATTGGGTCTCCTGGCTAAACTGAAGGAAATAGCAATGGTGGATACTGCTTCATTTGTTTCTGGCTTAGATCCATATGACAAGCGTTGCATTCTAAAAACTGACTTTCAACTTGTTATTGCATAGATTTTGAATCTTCAATTTAAATGAACGAAGTTGTCACAATATCAAACATTATGAAGACTCTCAATCATATTACATTTTTGCATAATAGTAAGAAGAACAGTTGCAAGCAGACATGGCAGTTGAAACTTTTAGTATCAAATATTATTTTCTTAGCTTTTTTATTTTTAGATGTTTTATTTTTAATATCTGACTTTATGCCATTCATAGTTTGTGCCATTCATTTCAGCTAAATGTTAGAATAACAAAAATGTAAAAAGATAAAAATTTAGAGCAGCTTTATAATATTATGAGTCTATGACTTTTGCAGTCTGCATCTATAGAAAGTTCTGCTTACTGTGAATTCTGTTAACTCTGTGGAGCCCTGCTTAGTGGGCAAGCCAGATTTACTATCTTTGATTTCTTCTTGCTCTTTCTTTTGGGACAGTCAGAATTGGATCTTTAAATTTCATACTGTCTGTCCTTTCGAGAAGTTTTAAATAAACATGAACTAAAATGTTACCGTATCTTTTAAATATACATATATACTGGATTATTTTTAATTTTCCTTTCAACACAAATAAATAATTTAATCAACGTTATGACAACTTTTAACTAGCAAAAATGACAGTGCTGCCAATGTATCTTAATTCATTGAAAACAAAATTTTGTGACATTTTCTGTTTGTTTCTTCTGTGTAAAATTCTTGTTGGTCTGTGTCTTGTACTCTGCATAACTACTTTGAAGATAATGACACACAATGCATGAATTTGTGTTACTCTAATTATTTTGTTATAAAATGCTGTTTTATTTTTTCACAAAATTAAAAATGACAGGATTTGTTTTAACAAAGAAATTTCAGTGTTCCAACTCTTTTGAAGAAATATGTAATATGGCCTTTTTGTAATTCAAGGCATTCCTCAGTGGTTTATAGTAAAGGGCTTTCAGTTGTTAGTCAGAAATGTAACATTAATTTAGCATGTACTATCAGGGACCCCTGCAGTGAGTACCTAACATCCTGCAAGGTGTTTTGGCACACTGAAAAAACAAAGAGCAGGAGATAAAAAGCTGATACAATGGGGAACTGGGAGGATCAGCTGTTCATGGGAAGCAAAAGGCTATGAGGTAGGCAGAGCCTCGGCATCTGTGTCAAGGTCAATGGGTGAAGGGCAGTGGGTGTTTCTTGGAACAGTAATGGCGATTATGATGGGCTAGAAAGAAGGAAGCATTCTTGAGAGGGTGAGACAAGCAGCAATAAGAAGACTAGTTTCCTGGGTTGGGGGGAAGTATTTACTGTGATCCTTATAGTCCTTAGCATGTCTTATCTTACCTTATGTGCTCTACATTATCATTTGCATTAGGTCTTCAGCTGTGACCAGAGGAAGAAAGGGAGTTTTGAAAAAAAAAGAAATAAAGGAAGGAGAGAGAGAGAGAGAGAGAGAGAGAGAGAGAGAGAGAGAGAGAGAGAGAGAGAGAGAGAGAGAAAGAAAAGAAAAGAAAAGAAAAGAAAAGAAAAGAAAAGAAAAGAAAAGAAAAGAAAAGAAAAGTTTCTGTTCTCCAGTCTGGCTCAGAGGCTCAAAGGGCAAGACAAAGAAGGACTGAGACATTCCCTAGACTCAATTTATAACCCCTGATCCCTGACAACATACCAATTAAAAGTACATCATATTTATATTATGTTATTATATTCTGATTAACAATAAGATAGTCAGTTGAACCTAGCATGCAGATACAATTTGCCCTTAATTGCCTTTCCTCATAATCTATAGATTTCTTATCCAAATTTGAAGCAGTTCTAAATAACTTTCATATTCTTGATATTTAAGTTTAAGAACAACTACATAGTGTAGTTAAAAGTTTATAAATTAGGACAGTTCATCTGTAACATCAACAATGTAATGCAGAAGTTTCAGATACCTAGAATGAAATAAAAACCTGCTGTGCTTTCAAGGCATTTTTGTAAACAAATAGATACATAGATAGATAGATAGATAGACAATTTCAAGCAGAGTTTTGCAGGCTTGTGAAATCAGACATTAAATGTAGTTAAAATGTAGGTTGAATCTAAAATCAGTAACCATACACTTAATCTCATTCACATGATTCTAAGCCATCTATCTACTTAATATGATAGCAAAAAATGTATTTGATGACAAGAGTAAATATGTAGCTTACAGTTTTACACACTTTCTTTCAATAGGACTTAGTCTGTGCTCCACCTTTTTTTATTTTCAGCTGAAATTCACTCTAAAATTTTGGAAATTTCATGCAGTGATTAGTACTCAGGTTATTAGACAAGTGGATTTCAAAGAACCATGAACAAAACAGGAGAGTTTTACAGTGAAGATTATCTTTTATGTAATTATAAAAAACCTTATATACATTGCCATTTCTGAAACATTTGAACAGTTTTGCCCTCATCTTATTCAGTATAAAATCTTACAATGATTTTTCAGTAAAACCAAAAAGAATTTGAGGGAAAAAAGAGGGGTTAAAACACATATTAAATATAAATAGCACAATCCATGGATATGACTCAGCAGCATAGCGACTGCCTGGCAAGCACAAGAGCCTAAGTTCAGTTCCCACGACCAGAAAGAAAAAAAGAAAAAAAAAAATATCAACAGCAAAACTTTTCATACCTGCCAAAAGTTTTGTCATATATTTATTAATGTTGCAAATGAAATATATACAATTAGGGTAATATATTATACATTTTATCTGCAAACAGTTTGAAGAATGGAAATTCTACCTCCGTGGAGTGGGACTATTTCCCCACCCTATAGACTTAGAAGAAATGACCACATGCCTTGATCTGGAGGCATCCATCACCATACCATTCAAAAATCCTACCAAGGAAGATGTTTCTGTCAATATCATTCTAACAAGTAAGTTGCTTTTCTCACATTTCTAACATTATTTTTTGGTAAGTAATCAAACTTACTTTAAAATAAAACCAAAGCTTAGTTTAATTAAAGGGAGAAATCTGGAGGGGCAGATTAAATATCTTCATTATGGGGAAGAGTGTATCAAAATTAGGTATTTATATCCTGAATTAATCTGTTCCAATTGTATCTCTAACCCAAATTCTGTACATAAGTTTGCCCATCTGTAAGATTTTTATGATTGTATTAAATATATCGATGCTTATTCTTCAAAAGTTTATAGAAATTTTAATGTCATGATCATAATTTCTTCCTCTCTTTTATTAGTAAATGCACTGGGATTAGACTTTGGTTCCCACCAACCTTGTCTCTTTTTTATATCATATTCAAGATAAACACTTTAAATTGAAGTATGTAGAGTGCTTAGTCACTTCATATTTAGTGCTCAAAATAATGTGAGCCCAAAATGAAAACAAAGTAATCGTTAAGTTTTCTGTAGAATATTTTAAACATAATATTAGATATTACCAATTGGACTTTTCAACTATTATTACTACTACTAAAATCACAGTGTGTTGTTATGTATGTATTTTAATATATATAATACATTTCTTTTAATACATATTATATATTGATATCAATATCGATATAGATATGTTTTTATATATGTTCGCAAATTAATCTACAGAATGGTTATTCTATTCCAACACAAGTTAAGAGTATGCTACAGATGTAACCTGCTGTCCTGAATTTTGTTTCTGGATAGTAACATGCTCCACACCTTAATCTCCATCAATGTGAATGGAAAAAATTATCTTATTATCAGTGAAAATTTATTAATTTTTAATTAATGTTGAAACTGAATACTATTCAGCTGTTGAGATTTTGGTCTTCCTGATCACCTTATTATACTCTTGGTCTGGAATATCTTTTAAGATTAAAAAAAGTAATATAATCATGTAAAATTTCTTTATCAATATGAAAGTGTGCAGTATTGTGTAGAAGCTGGCTTAGGGTCAAGGAAATCAGCAGTTCAACACAGAAACTTAATCATATGTACAAGCAGAAGAAAGAAGCTAGAATTTAGCTTAAAATTATAAAGAAGTTAAAAGTATAATGCAGATAAGGTTTCACTGCTAAACTTTGACTCTGAGTGCACTAGCATCAAAGCCATGGTAGAAAAAAATAACCATGGAGAAGGGAAATATTTCTTTGACCAGGTACTAGTAAGATACATAAATACAAATATAGAAATATTGGTAGGCAATGCTGGATGTTTAGAATTATAAACAATCATGGTGACATTTTCATTAGAAGAAGAAAGGGGATATAGTAAGAAATTTGAAGAATGGGGTAGTGAGTTGGAATAACTGTTAGAGGAAAAAGAAGACAATGCTGGTAAAACAGAAACATAAAATATATTGTTTGGGGCTGGAGTTGCAGACAGTATACGTAGATAAACACACAAAGAGTCTGTTCATATAGCGTGTGTCACTTCTAAGGCTCAGAATTCCTGATGTAGAAGAATAAAAGGAAGACGTATGCATCTTTTTAGGGAATGGGCTTTTTAGGGGAGGTACTGCTACAAACAAACAAAATCCTTCATATCTATAAGTATGTTACAAAAAGTTACTTGGATCAAGATTTTGATATTTAAAATAAGTTCTGAAATAATTTGTGTGTCCTTAGTTCTCTAAAAATCTGCTTAAAATTCCTCCTACTATGTAACAAAAACATACAGTAATCTTAACCAATAATTGATCAGTCTTTCATCACTCAAACTGGAGTCTTTGAAATAAGCTTATTTTCTCTTGGGGAAACTCTATCAGTTTCTTTCTATCTTTCCTTCAACTCAAATGATGGGCATGATAAAAAAACACTGACCTTTAGTATTTTAACTACCTTTCTCTGTCTTCTACTCTTGTGAAAATGATTCACTTTCCTTTTCCTTGGCCACGATGTCTCCTGCTGTCACATTATCTTCTTTCTCCCTTCTATGGATGCTGTGTTTTTCTAGGTGTCATCTACATATCTTCTTGTGATTGCATTCCTTAAAAATACAACCTCAAACTTTATAGCCTGAAATGATAAACCTCCACAGGGAAATAGGCCTAATCAAAAGAATAAAAGGGGCTGGGGATTTAGCTCAGTGGCATAAGCACCTGCCTTGCAAGCAGGCGGTCGTGAGTTCAATCCCCAGTACCGATAAAAAGAAAAAAGAAAAAAAAAGTGAAAAAAAAAAGGAATAACAAATAAAATTGTTTAAAGTTGGAGATTTAGCTCAGTGGAATAAATGCCTGCATGGCAAGCATGAAGTCCTGAGTTTGATCTCCAGTACAAAATAATAATAGTAATAATAAAATAAAATTTTTCATCCATATGAAATATGTACTCACTACAAAAGGTACTAAGTTGATCATCTCATTTTAATATTTGTAAATGTCTTGAAGTATTTTCATGGTAAGATCTTACTTCACTTTCTGTGTTTCAGAAGATGATGTAAATATTACTGGATATTTTATAGAATTCTCTTAAGAATATTGATTATCAAGATTCCTAATATACCAAGCGGTTAGTTGTAATAAAGGCATCTCACGACATTAGAAATATTTCTTATTTATCTCTTCTCTTTGTTTCTATTTATGTCTCTGTCTCTGTCTCTGCCTCTCTGTCTCTGTCTGTCTCTCTGTCTCTCTGTCTCTCTCTCTCTCTCTCTCTCTCTCTCTCTCTGTCTCTCTCTCTCTCTCCCCCTCCCTTTCTTCTCTATTCCTGATTTCTTTTTTAAAGTAACTGGACATTGAACTGAAGGCCTCACATAGGCTAAGCAAGCAGTTTACCACTGAGCTACATCTCCAAAGTCAAAAATTTATTTTGAGACAGATTCTGACTATATTACCTAGCATGGCCTTAAACTTGCAATTATCCGGCCTCTGTCTCCAGAGTGGCTGATATTACAAGTGTGTTCCACAATTCTTGGCTATATGTCAATTTATTATAGTTAAATTTGTGGGCTCTTTATGGGCAGAATCTGTGAATTAGTCAATTATAAAGTAAGTAGCACAGTACAAACAAGTTATGAAAATTCCTACAGTCAAGGAGAACATGCATTAGAAATGAAAATTGTCAAATTTCCTAAAGTTAGGAAGAGACATTATTTCTAGAAGGAATAAAAATGGAAATAGTCAAGATAGCAGTAAGAAACAGAAGATAGGAGAATATATGACAGTTCAGAATTTTGATAATGATTTTGAAATTCCAATAAATCTACTTTTTTAGAAAAAAGTGAATTTGTAAGAATACTCCTATTTGAGTGGGAGAAAGACTGAGACGGGGCAAGGGGAAGGAAAAAGAGGGGAGGAGAGTGAGGAGGGGAGGAGACAAAAGATAAGTCAGTATATTGAGACACATAAATGCTGTAATGAAGAATTCAGGTTTTGTCATGTAGGTATTCGGAGGTTCAGAAGTCACCTTGTACCTTATATATTTATAAATTGTATTTTATAGCATTTAAATTATAATACTACAAATATTTGTGGTCAGTTGATATGGAGATAGAAGGTAGACTGGAGTTTAGAAGCAAAGCTTAAAAGTTTTAATCCCGTAACAATGGAAAACACTGTGAGTTCATGCAACAAGCCTATAATTTTCCCAGAAGCCCCTGAGAATGCTTCTTTAGCAAATGTATTTAACAATTTGTGTGCCCATGCTGCCTTTTCCCCCAAGTAATTACATTGTACTACTTAAACAAATGTTTCAAAAGACATATCTATGTTTTGGATAATGTAATGTCATAGATGAGCATTTGGATATATCTCCATTATAAACATGACCATGCTAAAAATCATTGTTGTATTCCAATGATTCATGTAAGATCTTGGTCACACACTTTTTCTATGTGTTACAACAAACTCACAAATTTTGATGAAAACTTTGGTCCTGTTCACACGCAGTTACTATGTATGTGCATTTCCTTGTATTTATGCAGGAAATCTTGTTATTTTCTACAGCTACATTGAGGTTTAACCCGTTTGAGTAAAATGTAATTGAATGATTGATACACAGCTGTGATTGCAATAGGTGTTACCAAATATGAGATGTCATTTTTGGCAGATATTTTATTAACTACTGCATTTGTATTCTCTTTAAATTATCTCAGGATAACAAATATTTAACCCATATTTATCTAGACCATCTTTCCACTGCCAACAACTTACTCTAGGTATTTCCTCTGGCTGTCACAACCTGTTCTTTCAACTCACACCAGACTGGAGATGCTGCTGACTTAATTTTCTTTCATCCTATGGATGGAAGAGGATAATGGCTAAATATAACAGTTCCTGTACCCCTAAACATTGTACTTTGGAGATGTGTGTTCATAAGGTTTTTGGAGTTCTCCAGCACTCCTGTATCTTACTTTTTCATAGTAGTAATTAGCTTGAAAATCCATTTGTTGGATTCCTTTCATTGTTTTTGCTTAAATTTGGCAGTCCTGAATGATATTCTCTAGACAGTTTCCCAAATAAAGTCTTCCAAAGAAGCTCCAAATAAGAGAAGGATTCTCTGAAATAGGTATTGCCTCCATTCTTAAAGTTGAGAGCACTGAGGAACAGAAAGTCTTGGCAACTTGGTTATGATCATTAAGCTACAGGGAGCTAATAAATGAAGCAGCTGCAAAGCCAAATCTGTGGATTACTGTGCACCTGGTTTCTCAGTTTGTGGAAAGAGGAATTTCTAGCTGTTCAGTTATTTTTAAAAAAGACTGAAAAATTCAACTGAACAAATAGTTGGAAAGGACAATAGTAAAGATTTGCAATTTATTTCTTTAAGAACCATATAATCTACTTGTAGGTTAAGTTGAAGGGACCAAAATCCTTGTACCCAAAATCTACTGTGTTTTCCCCATCCGTAATCAGAAATTCATTCAGTTCAATTTCTTTATGTTCTGTTGTCCTATACTGACATTAAATGACACAGAACTATTCTAAGAAATAAGTCATGGTACATTTGTGGGAATATTATCAAAGACTTTACTGATATATTACTCAGTATGTTTTTTCTAAAATCTTTGGGGCGCATTTCTTTTAATTATTATCATTAGGAAGAACTATTGGCTTTATTAGTTGGTTTTTAATATATGGTGCCTGAGTTTTTCACTTCTTTTTTCCCCCATCCACATACTTTTAGAAATCATTTTGATTTCGCCAGAACTTGTGACATATTCTTGCTATAACTCATCCCTGATTGTCTGTTATGTCCTTAATCTCATTATATTTTTTAAAAACCCTTGTTTCTCATTCATTTTTTCTTGTACTTAAAATTTTGTGAGTCTTTTTGTTATGGTTGATACACTGTCAACTTGAACAGTTTAGAAGTTTAACTGAGAGACTAGCAGGGAGCCAGGGTTCTTACTTTGTAAATATCCTCATCCTGTGCAAAGGAGGGTAAGGAGATTTTGTGAGTGCTTTCTCCACCCAGTCCTGAAGCGGAGGAAGTGCCTGTGTACAATGTAAGGAAGAAAAGGCTTGTTTTCCCTTTCTACTCTGGTACTGCCTGAACTGTTGGTCCTATGCCATGCCACTCTGCCTTGGAGCCGACTGATTATAGACTGAAAACTCTACAAACAGTGAGCTAAATAAACTTTTCCTTCCTTAATTTTGGGTGCCAGGTGTTTTGTCCCAGCAACTAGTGAAAAGTAACCAAGACGACTTTATGCATTTTTTCAACAGAAGAAGGTATAACTAAACATATGTGCACTAAAAGACAGTAGTTGTGGAAGTTGGTTTACTTTTTTCCTTCCTTCCTTCCTTCCTTCCTTCCTTCCTTCCTTCCTTCCTTCCTTCCTTCCTTTCTTCCTTCCTTCTATTGGGGATTGAACTGAAAGTCTTCACACTGCTACATTCCCAACCTTTTTTAAATTTTGAGATAGTGTCTTGCTAAGACACTTAAGTTTCCCAGGTTGCGTTTCAAGGTATGATCTTGCCTCAGGCTCCAGCAGTACTGGCTTTGATTGCAGATAAAACTTTGATTGCTGCAGAAATATCCTACCTGTGACTTGATAAACTCATATGCTTAGACTGTAGCTCTCAGCTTATCCAGTGCTAACTTGAAAAGGTAAATGGCACATGGTGGCTAGATAAGAAATGGCTTAAACACCCTGTGAATAGTAAAAATCTTTTCAAATAAAACTATTAATATGTATCACATGGAGGAGGATATTATAGGAAAACTTCTAAATAATCTGGGAAAATATGGTTTTTTTAATAAATTCAGTATGTATGGGGCTGAGGATTTAGCTCAGTGGTGTAAGTGCCTACCTTACAAGCGCGAGGTCATGAGTTCGATTTCCGGCACCAAAAAAAAAAAATCAGTATGTATGACTAGTACTCTATAAACATTATTGTACCCAGTCTTTGATATATTTCGTAGATATCAGTACTCCTGCTTTTCATGTGTGGCAGCTCATGTTTTGAAACTCTCTGAAACCATAAAATGAATAAACGGGACAGAGCCTGAAGTTGATCATGTCTAGCTGTCTTCTTCAGGACCACTTGTCATTCAAAGTTATCTGCTCCCAGGTGGTACTTTGGGGGGGCGGGGTTTACAGTGGATTTAACCCAGGACATTTACACTGAGCTGTATACACAGCTGTCGTTTTAAATACCTTTTCTGAAATTGGAGACAGTGCCTTGCTGAGTTGCCCAGGCTGGGCTCAAACATGAATCCTGCTGCCTTAGCCTCCCAGAGTTCAGAAATTACAAAACTCTGTCACCCTGCCCAGATACAGGTGGTACTTTTAAAGCTCAATGTTATGGCTTTAAAGAATGGCACTTTCTAACCTCTGCTTCCTCTTCTTGGATAGCAGGGAAGGTGACTTCCTTCCATCCTCCTAAAGGTTCTCAGGAAATGTCTCATACAGCCACTGTTTGTCATTTTTGAAGTCTTCTGATTCCTCCTTTCATTTTCACTCTGCCACTAGAAACTGACTCCACCTGATCCACATGCGCTTTGACATCCTGTCTTGGTCTTCTTTGCCCTGGATATTTGCCCTTAATCAGTGACTGGTGTCTATGGATTTAATTCTCATAGTACGTTCTCATCAGTAGTTTTGTCCTCATCCTTAAATCACTGCTCTCAATTTCCAGCTTTCTCAGCTAGCAATAAAGGAGAAATGGTAGGAAGTCAGGAGTGGTATGCAAGGATCTGAGTTGAAATATTAGAATTCAGGCTTCATGTATACATAAATGTAAGGACATCTCTGCATTAGATGTTGGTCCCCATACTCATATAACTGTATTCCAAAGTTGTTCAAATGTGACCCAGTTAATGACAGTTGCTTTAATTCATAGCTTTATTCCTTAATAAATATTTTCATTTACAAAACTAGGTGTTGAATACTTAGTCACTAGTGAGCATCTATTTTGAACCAAAAACTATTGAATATGCATTTTAAAACTGTATCACATTTATACACAAAATGCATTGCTATTCATTTTTTATGGAATTCTATATAGGAAATCACAATATGGCTTACATACGAAAATTGTTGCTGAAAAGAAATAAGCAGAGATTTTAGTGCACCAATTTGACTATCTTGACTATTTTTCCATTGGAATAGCTATAGTTTGGAGATTAATTAGTCTTCCTCTTAACCTAAATTTAAATGCAATATTCGTGACTTAACTCACATGTTTAAATAAAAGTGTGTTCTATTTCAGATAACCATAGTTTATTAAAGAGCAAAACAAAATAATACTAGAGATTAAGATATGCATAGTAATTAAGATAATACATTAGTTTTACAAGTATCAACTTCCAGTTTTATTACTGATCAGTTTAAACAAACTCCCAAAATAAATTCTTATTGACTTAGGCTTAATTATGACCATGTTGTTGACCAGCAGTATAGCATAATTATGATAAGTTAATCACACATATGGGACATGGAGAGTCAACACTCCGTGCATTTCATTTCACTCTCTTAAATTAGTTCCTGAAAATCTGGTCCCTGGAGGCCCTCTGAATCTTATCTGGAATATGTTCAGAATCGAATAAATATTTATGTTAAATATGGAGTAATTACTGTAAACTGCCAATCAGGATGAGCATGACTTTATACATATATGAGAGATAAATGGATGTAAGAAACAAATCCCACATATTCAAAATCTCTCCCAAATTCAGGTGTGCAAGTTTTTTTCTTTTTATGTATTCAATTTAATAGATAGCATTGAAAGGTTTGGCATTTATGAACAAAGAAGCTCAAAAATCTTAGCAGCCTCGTGATACCTTAGTTTCATTACATTATCTGTCTTAGTTTGCGTATAGATTTTCTGTGTGAAGGAAAAATGGTCATAAAATAATTACTGTACTCAATTTTTCAATGAATAATCTCATAATTTACATTTTACAATAACTTTATTCTTAGTGCACTTAGCAAATTCCTAAGAGCCCTCAATATTCAATAAGCAGTAATTGTTATATTATCAAAATTCAGGTACCCCTGTCCACACTCATTTATTCTGATTTATTAGGTCTGGAGTAAAGCCCTAATTTCAAAAACTATTCTAATCCAAGTTGGCAGAAAACTGATTACAAAATGGTCTCAAAATATAGTTTTAACTCATACACTTCTGTTAGCAAATATTTTTCAGCATTCCTTTCAACACACACACTTTTGAAATATATACATGTACATTATCAATATATATATTTAATGTCAACACAGCTTATCTCACTCCCACAGAAAGTTAAGACATTTTTATATGTATGTATATTAGTTTAAACTTTTCACTACTGTTGCATAACTGTTGTATATTTATACAGATGTAAGGTTTTATGGGGGGGTGGGTACTGAGAATTCAACTAAGTGCCTTGTTCTTACTAGGCAGGCACTTGTGGCACTGGGCTATATTCCCAGCCCAACTATGTGTATATTGAACACTACAATCCATTTTCAGTTTTGGTGCTCAGACTATATTTTTATTTGTTTTTTGTCAGTATATATTTACAGTTTATAATGTTTATATTTCTTGTGTGGAGTTGATAAATGTTTATAAATCATCTTAATAGTATTTTTCTTCTTCTCCTACCTTCCCTGCTCTCTCCCTCCATGAAACAGATTTTTAATAATAGAGTTTGAATAGGTTAAAATTTCAAAAACTTACAAGCCAATTTTACAGTATTTAAATGTGATAGAGGAAATCTTTTATGATGTACATGTTCTTCCAAATTTTATTCTAATTTCACATCAAAAATACTTTGAAAAATATTCATCTAAGAAATTTCTCATTAGAGAATAATTTTTATTTTATTTTCACTGCACTACTGTTTTCTTTTTGAATGTGACTTTGAAGTATAATATTTCTTTATTTTTTAATTAGATGAAACAAAGCCTACACACCTCTTCATTGACCAATGCTGGGATAGCTTCATGAATGAGAATTCTGCTTTCCGACTTGTTTCTCCATGGCATACACAAGGTACAGAATTTCTAGCTCATATTCTCTCATTCTATGTTCTGCTGCATGAGACTATACATATATATATATATGTTTTATATATATCGTGTGTTCTTGTAATACATATTTATCATATATTATAATTTGTAATATTTTGGTGTTAGTAGAAAAACATAGTTAGTATAGCATTTATGTACATTTATTACATTTTCACTATGTTTAATTGCTTAGTACACAAGTGACATTTGCCAAAAAATTATACTTTTAGGGTTTTTTTTTTTTTTTTTTTTTTTTTACTAGACTAGATCTTGCTGTGTTGCCAAGGATGGTCCCACACTCTTGGGTTCAAATGATATTTTTGCCTCAGCATCCTGATTTTAAAATTTTAAGTGTCTGAATATCATATCACTTAACATATTGGTATATGAATCAAACAAATTTTTGAAAAAAGTATGAATAATTATTGTGCTGAAACTACACATATTCATGAAAAACAATTGTATTTTGCATAGGCTAAAGATTCTTTGCAAAATTAACAAGATATACATACATTTCTTTTTATATTTATGCTAACAACATATTAATGAATAGAAAACATAAGAAATAATGAGTTTACTTAGCAATATAAAATTTAAAATTATTAGTCGGTTTAAAATAATGACAAACTATAAAAATAATTTTATGATAAAGGTGAAAAATGTGAATTATCTTGACATTGTTAGTATAAAAATATTAATTGAAATCAGTCACTACTGATATACTCCTAATATGGGTTAATGACTTTTTTCTATTTAATGTAATTTATTTTAGCATTTTAATATCATTTTTATTTAGTTGATACAACTACAACATACTCAATATACTCAATAAATTAAGAAATTTTAATTCTGAAAATTAACTTACCCAGAGCTGATACTTTTTTTGACTTCAAAGTCTTTCTTTTTCTTTTTCTTTTTTGCAGCATATTAAGGAGGAATATTAAAAATAATTTATTAACGAAGCAATATTGATTCTGGCAAAAAAAATTAAAAATAAATTCAATGTCAATAACATCCTAGTAGATGTTGATTTAAAGAACAACCACTAAAGTTGCCACTCTTCTTGTTTTTATTGTCATTTTTTGTATATCATTGAAAGTACCAATAATAATGTTCATATGGCAAAAGCAAAATAATTGAACAGTGCTTGTAAGAATATAAATGATTACTTAGAGTCTGGAAAGCACTTTATGTTATGCTCGTAAATGTACTTTGAAATTGTCTTTTGGCCCAATAAACCTCATTAAAAATGGTTTTAAATCAAAGTTTATGCAAAATATATTTACTATTGCATAATTTATAACAGAAAAAAATGATAAAGCCTTAATACTAAATAATAACTGTTACATTTATAGCAACTTTTTATACATTTGTGCATTTTTAATTTTACTTATTAAATAGATAAACCATTTTCTATTAAATAGATAAACCATTTTCTTTTGTAAGCATGAAAAAGCCCATTGATTTTACATAGTGTGTTTTCACATTGTGCAACTATCTGAAAATTTGTATATACTTTTCCTTCTCTGTATTTAGTAGGAAAATATTATATGTAGGTAGGTGATATTTTTATGTTATTCCTTCCTTTAATCCACTTTTGCTTTTTTGATATGTAATGACAATATAATCTTGATTCCACCTTCATTTAATTAGACCATTCTACTTTTTAAAAATTAATAAATATTTGTTGCTATTGATATTTGCAGTGTGACTTATACAGATCAAACTAGCACCCTCTAATTTGCTATATGATTTGACAGTGCATACCATTTAATTCAGTTGAGTGTGACGTATTTAAAAGAGGCAATGCATTTTGTTCCATGGATCTGTATTTTGGGTCTTGGACCACTGCCTTCTTGTTCAAATCATACCATTTTGTTGTCTTATTTGACATTGTTCTTTCAAAGTCTTTTAAATACTTATTTCTTCTTATCATTTATTTATTCTTACAGAAAATATTTGAATTATTTGTCATCAAGCTCTAAAAAGAATCAGTAATTTTTAAAGTGCAACTACATTCAATCTGTAGACAAATTTGGGGAGGAATATGTTTGTATGATAGTTAATCTGGTTTAGGACCATTTATTCCCTGAGCTAAATTGTCTACTTATGATAGGATTTTCTAAGACTTTTTGCCCTGTAATTTGATGAGTTCCTGCAGATAGGAAATGTTGTATTATGAACTTGTATCTGGCCAAAAAGTATACCTCTGTGAGTATTACTGTCAAGTGAACTGATTAAGCTGAAATCTTCTAAATTAGCACACTCTAATGTACTATATTATATGACATTACTTTCGATTTAATTCAGTTAAATGTAGTAAAATTTATAGTGACTTCTGTTAAGATTATTTTAGAAATAATGCTGCTTACTTCCATGGTAACAATTATTATATTATAATCTAAACCTGACTTTACCAAAATTTTGGTCTATATATAACTAAAGAATATGGGTAAAAATAACTTTTGTAAATACTCTTCATATTAACTTCTTTAATTTCTTCAGAAATTTTTAGTCTCCTGTACGCATAAAGTACTTTAATTAAATTGAATCTCTAGATAGCTAGATATTGACTTGTTTGATCTCTAGCCATTGACACTGTTTTTTATTTCCCATTGTAAAAAGCATTGAGATCCCCTTTAATTTTCTAAAAAGATGTTTCTCTAGATATTTTCTTCCTTATAATATATAGGCATAAAAATACGTAAGCCAGTCCTTCCTTTTGTAATCTTTCAAAAATGGCAAAACTAAACAAGGGAAAAGATAGGTGGGTGTTCCTGACAGTGAGGAATCTTGGTTTGCCACCTCTTCACTTTGCAACTTAATCTGGTGCACAGATTCAATTAGGTTAAGTAGACTGAGACAATAATGGAGGTAAACTATGATTTTAGATGACATCTCTCTGCAAAGTTGATAAATACATAAGGAATTTATGAGTTTTCTCTTTTACTAGAAAGGACTCGACCATCATTGAAGCAAATTCCAGATTAATCTCTTGAAAAAACTTAGCTATAACATCTTCTTGGGTTCTTTGTTTAGAATATTTTAAAAAGCAAAAGGAGTAGGCATTAATATATATTATACTGTAACACTAGGGAAAATTATATGTTACATTACAAGTATATATAATGCACGCAATTAGAATCAAACTTTAGGAAGGTAGCCAGGGTTCACTATTAAGCATTAGGCTTATGCTTAATTCTTAGATTGTGTTCTTTCTAGTTTTGACTATCATGTGGATAAGCTTGCGCATTAATTTGTGCTAGTTTTGTTAATATATCCATATGCATACTTCATGAACATTTTATGATCTTTCCACATGTTGTTTCACTGTCAATAGACAATATATATTTTATTCTTTAAAAAATATTTGACTTGACAAATATGTTAATAGCTGATAAGTTTAGTCTTTTTCTCTAATCTCAGGGTAACCCATCAAAAATCAGTATATAAAAACAAATTGCATATATTATTTATAAAAAGTACCCCATCAACTGCATAAGATATTTGATAATGAAACAAAATTCTATCAGTAACTCTTTTATCTGAATACTCTAATTATTCCAGTTTTCCATGTGCTTTTTGATGAATCACTTAATTTTGTTTCTACTTAAACTATATTTCTATAATATTTAGATAGTGACACATATTCCTTATCTTAATTTTCATAAAGCCATTTTATAAACTCTGAAAAGAGAATTTCATAGTTACAATTAATGGAATTGATGAAAGCTAAAATCCTTCTCCAGAGAAATATGATATAATTTTTCCATATCTATGCTATCATATAGTCAAATGAAATTATGTTTATAACTCCTATCATAGAAAGTATATTTTCAAGCAGTATGAGTTAAGCCACTGATGATGCCACAACAAAATATCCTAATTCAACATTAATCTAGACAAATGACCCAGTGACAAATACTGTATCTCAAAGCATGTTTTACACACACACACACACACAAAGTATTTTTGTGCTGGACAAGATTGCACTATGTGTTCTGCCTCTACTTATAACCTCAGTCTTGGGTATACAGATTTATAGGACAATTTTATTTTTACTTTATTTTCAGGCTGCTACTTTCATTATTAATCTTGATGTTCTCCTAATTTTATGATCACCAGCAGTACCAATGTAAAGTATTTAAGCATTATTTCAGAATTCAGTAACATTAAAGGCAACAATCATGTTTTCTCAATTATTACCCTCTTGATAATTAACAATGTGTAAAATACTAGAAAATTAAAAGAACATACTAGTAGTTTCTTGCCAGTGACAATCAAGTGCATTACCAAATAAAGGCACTAGTATATTTATAAAGAGTCAAATGTAATATAGTTTCATGAAATGTTAGAACAAAAAGATTAAAGTATATTAAAATTAAATATCACTATATTAACAAAGTATGATTATCAATTATCCTAATCATTCTTTGGAAGAAATGTGTTTCAGAGAATGTTTCTTTGCAATAAAATACTTTTATAATCTAGTAACTAGTTCACAGAAGCTACAACTTGTTTTGCTATAACTTTATAGTTACCAGTTAATATAACTTCAAACAAGAACCATATCTGTTTTTATTTTAAAGAAGATAAAACCAAGGAAAATAAAACAGAATAAAGCCAATCAAAGCAAACCAGTATAACTGATATAGGACTTCTAAACAATACAAAATCAACAATAGTTACCATGATGCTTCTTGTTGTCTTCCAAATAGCTGCAGATGCCTTCAGACATAGTAAAAATATAAAAGGACAAAACAGAATAGAATCAATAAAAACAAAATGAATGCAGTAAAGGACTTTGAAACAAGACAATAAATACAAAATTACTACCATAATATATCTTACTTTCTTTGAAATAGCTGCTCATGTGTCAGATATAAAAAAAACATAGCAAAATCTAATCCAACAAAACAATGAAAATGATACAGGACTTCAAATCAAAATAACATGTAATTAATGAACAATTGCTACCACCTT